ATAATTTATATAAGCTACAATAGGCATACTATTACCTTAGCCTCCCGAATAGCTGGGATTACGGACATGCACTGCCATGCCCGGCTAATTTTGTATTTTTAGTAGAGATGAGGTTTCTCCATGTTGGTCAGACTGGTCTGGAAGTCCCCACCTCAGGTGATCCACCCAACTCAGCCTCCCAAAGTGCTGGGATTACAGGCATGAGCCACCATGCCCAGCCCCATCTCCCTTTTTAAGAACAGATTTTGCATATTTTGGTGGACCCTCAGCCAGAGTCTCTTCAAACTTGGTTTCTTTGGGTTTATCTTCATTAACTTCACATTTTTCACTTGCAAACACTTATACTATCAGTACCCTTGAAACACTCAGTTTCAAAAAGATGTAAAGATTAGGCTGTAACCAAATGGTCCTCGTTAGCTGTCTTGCCCACATTTAAAATATTTCCAATAATTTACATTCTGTAAGAAACGAATCTGAATTGTCGTCCTTTAGAAACTTGATAACGTTCTCCTCGGGCAGCTGCTTACTGAACAGCTGCTCCAGGGTTCACGCCTGCAGTGGGACGCCGCTGTCATCATCCCCCACTGCCTGTGCCCCACTGAGCCAGCCCGCTGCAGTTCCCACAGACGTCTTGATTAGCATGTGTCAGGAGACTGGCTGATGCAGTGAGCTGAGATTGCATCATTGCACTCCAGCCTGGGCAACAAGAGCAAAACTCCATCTCAATTAATCAATCAATCAATAAAATAGGGAAATAAACAGAAGTGAAAAACATCTCTCCTTTTTGGGAGATGGGAGACGTTGTTGACTGCTGGTATACAGGAACTCTACCAGACGGAACTGTTTTTGATACTAACATTCAAACAAGTTCGAAAAAGAAAAATGCCAAGCCTTTAAGTTTTAAGGTTGGAGTGGGCAAAGTTATCACAGGAGGGGATGGAGCACTCTTGACTGGGTAAAGCGGAAAAGCCTCAACTGAAGAGTGAAGCGGAACAGGCTTATAGAAAGAAAGGGCAGCCTGCTGCCAAAACTCCACGGATTGCAAAGCTGTTTTCTGAAGTGGAATGAGTGGATCCTGATTGAAACAGCAGTGCTTCAGCTCTAAGGACATCAGCAACAAGGATAAAACTTGGCCTTGAAGAAACTTATGTAACTAACTAGAGCTTGTTACTATTGGAAGGGAAGAGTCACCTGGACAATTCAGAGTTAAAACTTGTTTAACCTGATCCCAACTTTTGAGAAATGTAATCTCTTATAAATCCCTGAAGTCTAAAATGTTTTACACTACAACTATGTAAAATACTGGTCAAGGAGAACTTTTTCCTTTTACTTAATGCTGTAAACTAAATGACTGAATAAAAACATATCCACTGGGGGCGGGGGAGATAATGGAAAGACATTTGTGAGAATTTAATGACTGTGTGAATACAAGCTGAGGTAAAAGAAGTGAATTCGAATGGAGTACTCAGTAAAAACTCAACCTCCTGTAGGAGACATCTGTTGCCTTTGCCTGACCAGCAACCCTTTCCGCTCTATTAAAAATAGAAAGCTGTTTGAAGCCAGCCTGGCCGACATGGTGAAACCCCATCTCTACTAAAAATACAAAAATTAGCCAGGCGTGGTGATACACATCTGTAATTCCAGTTACTCTGGAGGCTGAGGCATGAGAATCGCTTGAATTTGGGAGGCGGACGTTGCAGTGAGACCACGTCACTGTACTCCAGCCTGGGGGACAGAGTGAGACTCCGTCTCAAAAAAAAAAAAAAAAGAAAGAAAAAAAAGGAGTGGTTTGTGTAACTACCCCTGGCTCATTTCTTGTGGTCTGTAGGACTGTGAATCAAGGTGCTCACTTTCTACCCTCAAGCTAAACTCTAGAAGGAATGTGAATTTTGACAGGAAGAACACAAGACTTTTAAAAGTGATAGGAATTGATAAGTATAATGGCAATGCCCTAGAAGAGACTGTTCAGTCATTAGTTGTATTCTTTAAAGTCCCTGAGTTCTGTCCCGATGGACTTGCCTTTCTAGAGGTGCATGGTGAAATCTGCGTCAGTACCATAAGGAATTTGACATGTTTTTCATTTGCTATTAAATTAGGAGTAGGCTGCAGTGGGCGGATCATGAGGTCAGGAATTCGAGAACAGCCTCACCATTTTTAGTAGAGATGGTGAAACCCTGTCTCTACTAAAAGTACAAAAAATTAGCTGGGCATGGTGGTGTGCGCCTGTAATCCCAGCTACTAGGGAGACTGAGGCAGTAGAATCACATGAACCCAGGAAATGGAGGTTGTAGTAAGCCGAGATCATGCCACTGCACTCCAGCCTGGGTGACAGAACGAGACTCTGTCTCAAAAAAAGAAATTAGCTAGAGCTGATTTTTGTGGCATACAATCAAAGGGATTTAGTGTATGCACTTTCTTCTGTTTCAACTTCCAACCACAGTATTAGAGATGGAAAGACTGACCTTCATCTGCAGGAAGCATGGGGGATAGCACAACCCTGGGGTCTCTCACAATGCTGGTTTCAGAGTAGTTGATTTTAGGGAAAGCAGAGGTAAATCAGCCAGAATGAGGGAACAAAGAGGAGGGCTGTCTGACCACAAAGGAACAATCCCCTCATACCACTCATAATAATGCACACTAAAACGGTTCATGACAGACACCACTCTAAGTGAATTTTGGTACACTGTTACACCCATATCATGACGAACACCTGCTATTTCCAGTTTCACTCACCAAGAAAAATCTCACTTGTCCCTAGAAGTTATGTGTCAGGCTTCTGAGCTGAAAACAAAAGCAAATGAGGAGGTTTGTTGCTGCGACTTTCTGGATTATGTAACTAAGAGGACAAAAGCTACCTGAGTCCTTTCTGCATTAGAGTTCCCTATCCACTTTGTCTCTCTCTCTCTCTTTTTTTACTCCACCCCCGAACCCACTTTCTTCCTTTGTTCTTTAATAACGAATATTTCAAGCCTCTCGAAGGCCATGAATTCTGCCTTTGATATCCAGGTACTAGTCCTTAAAGAACCTGAGATTTTGTAATAGGAAAATTTATAACCCACAATTTAAAAAAAAAGTTTTGCATAACAAAATCCCAGGAAGTATGTGTTACTAACATCAAATACAGCACAGACAAGGACTCTTTTAAAAAGCCTACCAGACTTGATCAAATGTTTCTCCTACAAAAGCACATTTATATGAGGGGAAGAAGGGTATGAGCAGATAGGAAGTCTAGGTTTGGCAGAGAAAAGACGTGAAAAAGTAGCTGGAAAAATCAAGCAACAAGTTTTTTGTTTTTAAGCTAGGGAAGATCTGGACAGTTTGGAGACAGAGGGAAAGAGTTGCTAGACAGGAAAAGGACAGGCAGGGCTGGCTTCATGAACATGTGGCCTGTGCAGTCACGCACCCCAGGGTCCTGCATTTGGTTTAATGCTCTGCTGGTTCTGAAAGGTACAAACACTATGTGGTAGGCTCACTTATGACCCTCTTTTTTTTAATTTTTTTATTTTTGAGATGGAGTCTCACTCTGTCACCCAGGCTGGAGTGTAGTGGCACGATGTTGGCTCACTGCAACCTCTCTGTCTCCCGGGTTCAAGCAATTCTCCTGCTTCAGCCTCCCGAGTAGCTGGGATTACAGGCGCCTGGCACCACACCTGGCTAATTTTTGTGTTTTTGGTAGAGACAGGGGTTTCACTATGTTGGCCAGGCTGGTCTCGAATTGCTGACCTCAGATGACCCACTTGCCTCAGTCTCCCAAAGTGCTGGGATTACTTGCCTGGCATGAGCCTCTATTTATAGATCCTCATCCTAACCTCTGGAACCTGTGAATATGTTATTCTGTAGGCTAAAGGGACTTTGCATGTGTGATTAAGTTAAGGATTTTGAGATAGGATTGTCTGGGTGAGCCCAGTGTAATCACAAGTGTCCTTATACAAGAAAGAAGAGTTAGGGTCACAAAGAGAAGGCATGTGACAAGGGAAGCAGAGGGAGTCAAGAAGATGTGATTATAATGTGAGGTCATGAGGCCATGAATGCAGGTGGCCTTTGGAAGCTGGACAGGGTAAGGAAACACATTGTCCCCTAGAACCTCCAAAAGGAACACAGCCCTACAGGTCCATTTTTGGACTTCTGATCTCCAGAACTATAAGATAATGAATTTCTTTTGTTGTAAGCAATTAAATTTGTGATAATTTGTTACAGCATCCATGAGAAACTAATACATGCTACATAAACACAAGGGGAATGTATTACTCGTTTTGTAGACATCAAAGACATTCATAAAACTAATAGCAGTTACCATTTATTCAGTACTTCGCACGGGGTAGGCACTATACTCAGCTCTTTCTGTATGTAATCTTATGTAGTCCTAGAACAAGATATGAGGTTGGAAGTAAGGCCCGATAACTAACTAGAAGGTTTTAGAGTTGGGATCTGAGCCCAGTCTGTGTCACGCTAAGTTTTTCTGTGAGTTTTACCCCATCCCTGTATTTCATCATACACCTTTGGGCTTGTCTTCACGCTTTAGCATGCATTATACTTGCACGTGTCAACCTAGCAGTCGGGCTGGAGCGGGGCAGGAGCTGGCATCCCTATCTAGGGTGCCTGAAGTTAAAAAGGAGCCCCAGCCACCTCTACAAGTCACAGGTGGCTTACATAGGCACCCACGGTAGATGGGAGGCTACTGAAAACTGAATGAGACAAAGAATACGCCTCGGACCGAAAGCGTAATATCCTGCACCGTTTGTTCAGGGAGACGCAGAGAGGTCCCAAGCCTCGTTCCCAGAGAAGAGGGCGCCCAGCCTTCCTCGCCCGCACCTCCCGGTGTTTTGGAGGCCGGCGTGGTCCCGCCTCATTGGCCGCAGTGGTGCCCAAGGCCCCGGGGAGGCGGGACGGCCTTCGCAGTTGTAGTTCCCGAGTTCTCAGGTTCACCGGCTTCGCCTTCCGGCCGCGGCGCCCAGGCGGCCGCCCGGGACCACAACTCCCACAAGGCCCCGCGCTCGGGGGCGTGGCCGCGGAGCGGAGCGAGCCAGGGGCGGGGCCGTCCGGGGGATGAAGTGGGGGCGTTCGCGTCTCCTGCCTCACTCGCAGCTCCCTGGCGTCGGGGAGAGCGTCTTCTGCTTCCGCGCCGGCGTGCAGACCTCTGACCCTGGGGTCGCTTGGCCGCCGGGAATCGTCCCTTCGGGTCATCGCCCGGGCCGCCCGCTGTTCCCCGGCCCCGAGGGGCCCGGCTGGCCGCGGCGCGGGGAGAGGTCAGCATGAGCAAGGGGGTCTGCCGGGCCGGCGCCGGGCATGGGGCGGCGGCCGCGGTGCGGCTGCTGGTCACCCTGAGCTTCCTCCCGAGCGTCGTCGAGGCCCAGGTAAGCCCGAGCGATGGCGGGCCGGGAACCCTCTGCCGAACGCCCGCGGCTGCTGCAAACGGGCCGCGGCTGTGGTGCGGGGAGGGCCGGGCCCGGCCCGGTCCGGCTGGAGGTGATTTCTGGCTAGCAGAAAACCCGGGAGTAGGGACCTGACCGTCCAGTGCGGGAAACATCTGCTAACCGCCCGCGGGCTGGGGGGATGGCGACACTCCGGGAAATGGCAGTCAAAGAGGAAGATGGTGACGGCCCCCTGAGCGGTTTCTGTTTTTTTCTCTTGGACGTTTTAAGCGTCTGGGAGTGTGGCGGGAGATGGGACGGGCACGAACACCTCGGCTGTCTTGCAAAGGGGGCGCCCAGAGAAACGGTGACGTCCTTCCCTCCAGGAGTCAGCGAGGGAGGGAGACTGAGAGTAGGGGGCACTCTCCGCAGACCCCCGAGGCCCCGCCAGGCGCAGGAGATGGAGAGGGGACAAGATTTCACTCACTTGAACTTTTGGACTACAGCTTTCTGGGCTTTTACCCTCGCTCGAGCATCTTCCCTTGCTCAAGATTGCTTTATGTTTACCCAGCTGAGCTGTGTCTGCCAAGTGACATAGCCAGGTAAGTCCCAGAGACTGGGGGGTCTGAGTCTGGCCTGGTGGCTCGTGGATGGAGGCTCTGGCTCTGCAGGCGGGAGGTGCCGGCTGGTTGTTGATGTGAAGCGGTGATTACAGAAGTGTTCTCAGTGTGCTAGAAATCTGAGGGTGAGCTGACCAGATCAGTTCTTCTTCAGAGGTGTTTGCGTCTGTTTTATTCAGTAGAATTTGAATTGATTGCCAGGTGCTGCTGCCTGTTTTCTGCACCTGCTGCAAAGTGGCAGCCCTGCTAAGACCTAACAAATAAAACCAAAGTCTCAGGTGGCCTGATAATGAGAGGAGATGTCATTTGAAGCAATTAATGCTTATCTAAGAAAAAACTGAAGGTGACTGTGTGTAACTGTGAAAACATGTTTTTCTGAATTGAGACACTTTTTTTCTTGGTTTTATGGTGCCCTGCACTAAATCCCAGAGTGCCCAAATAGTCCATTTGTGTCTGTGTTTGAACCATAAAAATAAAAGGGGCAAACTTTTGGTATTGGGGAACATGTTAAAATGCAAATTCTCTGGCCCTACTTCCAGATGTACTGATTGCATGGATCTGGAATGTGTCCCCGATATCAGCATTTTGCTTATTTAATTTATTTTTGAGACGGAGTCTCGCTCTTGTTTCCCAGGCTGGAGTGCAGTGGCGCAATCTTGGCTCACTGAAACCTCTGCCTGCTGGGTTCAAGCGATTCTCCTGCCTCAGCCACCGGAGTAGCTGGGATTACAGGCATGCGCCACCACACCCGGCTAATTTTTGTATTTTTAGTAGAGACGGGGTTTCACCATGTTGGCCAGGCTATTCGCCAAACCCCTGACCTCAGGTGATTCACTTGCCTCAGCCTCCTAAAGTGCTGAAATTACAGACGTGAGCCACCTGTGCGCGGCCTGATATCAGCGTTTTAAACAAATATTTCAAGTACAGTAATGGTAGCAAAGTTATCTTTTGACTACCTCTTGGACCTCACTTGGAAAACTCTGAAATAGAATAGATAGTGGTAATTTGGGCAGATTTACAAAAAGTAAATTTTCCAAATTGTCTTTGCCAAATTATTTTCTACTCACTAGTTGTGTTTTTGAGTGAAACTTACAATTAGATGTTTTTCTAAAATGAGATTTCTCATTTTCTCTTTTTATGTAGCATATATTACTTTATGCTTATCTGTCTAGAAACTTCATTTTAGATATTTTTCAGTTACCACTCATCATGTGTAATTAATGTTTTGTAATTTCACCTGTATTTCTTAAATGTTTGTGTAGAGATGGGGATTTACTGTATTGTTAGGCTGATCTTCAACTCCTGGACTCCAGCTGTCCTCTTTCTTTGGCTTCCCAGAGTGCTGGGATTACAGGTGTGAGCCGCTGCTGCTGGCCTGCACCTGTGCTTTTAGTTTCATTATATCTAAATGAATATATAGTTCAGCTGTTAAAGATGTGCTACTATTTGGAGTAGCATTGTGCCAAACAGCCTTCAAAGTGAATATATTTGGTTTTTGTTGCCAGCAGTACTTTTTTTTGTTTGTTTTTTTGAAACGCAGTCTCGCTCTGTTGTCCAGGCTGGAGTGCAATGGCACACCTTGGCTTACTGCATCCTCCACCTTGAGGGTTCAAGCAGTTCTCCCTGCCTCAGCCTCCTGAGTAGCTGGGATTACAGATGCCTGCCACCATGCCCAGCTTTTTTTTTTTTTTTCAGTGGAGACGGGGGTTTTGCTATGTAGCTACCTCGGCCCCACAAAGTGTTGGGATTATAGGTGTGAGCCATGACCCCTGGCCGCCAGCAGTACTTCTACTGTAGTGTTTGATCTTTTTTTTTTTTCTTTTTTCAGGAGGGAGGGGCGGGGGATGGAATCTTACTGTGTTTGAACCAGACTGGAGTGCAATGGCGCAATCTCGGCTCACTGCAGCGTCTGCCTCCTGGGTTCAAGTGATTCTCCTGTCTCAGCCTCCCGAGTAGCTGGGAGTACAGGTGCCCACCACCAACCTGGCTAATTTTATATCTTTTAGTAGAGACGAGTTTCCTCATGTTGGCCAGGCTGGTCTCGAAATCCTGACTGCAGGTGATCGACCTGCCTCGGCCTCCCAAAGTGCTGGGATTACAAGTATGAGCCACCAAGCCCAGCCTGATCATCTTTTAGATAGTACTTTAGTCTGTAACATGGTTACATGTATATTGTCTCATTTTATTAGATACATCTCTCAGAAGTGGGATCATTGAGGTAATTGAAGTTCAAAGAACTTAAATGTCTTAAATGAATAAGTGACATTAAAGTGGAGCCCTAATGTGGAACCTCTTCTGGTCTATACAGTGTGTTGGTATCTTCAGTTCTCTGTAGTATAGAAAAGCAGAAGGAAAACAGGAAAATCAAATAGTGGAATTCAGTCAGTTCATTGACTTCATCCGTATAGTAGAAAATTGATAAAGGGAAGAATTAGAATTTTTGAAAACTAACTACCTCTGTTCACAAGAAATCAAAGTCATTTAAGGAGATACATATTTTGAATGTATCTCCTTCCAAAATAAAAGCAAAAAAAATATTTTGGAGCACATAAAATGATATACATTTGTATATCTCATGCCCCGTTTTCTTATAAATGAAATGTAAATATACTTTGCAGTGTGGTAAAGCACTAGAAACTAAAGGCATAGTGCATACAAGCGATGTAACAATCTTCCTATAAAAAGTAATTTCAATTATATATATAAATGTTTTTCTAAATGCATTTCTGAGGTTGCATGAAATCAAGGAATACACAGAGCCTCTCAACAAATGGAAAGCCAGAAACTTGGAACTCAAATAGTGCCGTACCAGTCCATTACTCTCAGGGCTTCTCCTAAACCCTGAAGATCGTAAGCTACTTTAACAGTTGCATGGAGTTGAGTGGGCAAGAAATAACCCCGTGTCTGCCCAGTGAGAGGAAACTAACAGCAGGGTCCACCATAATTCATTTCTCATTTACCCTTATATTGAGGATGGAACTGTTTGGAGCCTGAACTTTAAACAGCTACATCCTCAATATAAGGGTAAATGAGAGACGAAACCCATTCTAAGTAAGGGGAATGTAAAGAAACCTGCTAGGTTTAGAGGAAGAAACTTTGAGAATTTGTAAACATGAGCCAGCCCTCACACAGGTTTGCAAGCCAAATATTTATGCAGGTAAAATTTATAGCAGTCCCAGATTTGTATGTCCCAGGTTACCCATAAAAGCAAATATCCATCCCCTCTTGAGGAATTTATTTCCAACTCGGACCTTGAAAAATCTTTGAAGATAAAGTGCCAAGAAGAATAAGCAGCAGTAAAATACCACAAAACACATAACCAGGGCATCATGAATCAGATATTAGACACAGACAACAGAAACAACAAATAATGACCTTAGGTTCCGAAATTATCAGATAGATAATTTAACATCACTATGTTTAATGTGTTCAAATAAAAAAAGGGAAACTTGAAGTATAAAAGAAAAAAAGATTTTAAAGAATGGCTAAAAAGGCTTAAAAAATAATGAAGTAGTTCTAGAGCTGAAATTAAAAACTCAGTGGATGGATTAAAAAGCTGATCATATCCAGCTGGAGAAATGATTACTGAATTAGACAATCATTTCATGTCTTTTTTTCTTTCTCAGTCACCTATTACCACCTCATCAATCCTTACTCTCAGCTTCAGACCTTACTAAAATTGGAGAAATCAGAAGAGAAATTCCATAGGGTAATCCACATCTATCCATTTACTAGTCTTTGTACCCACATATTTTGACTTCCTATTGGTTACCATTGATGAACAGTGTGCTTCTTATCAAATACAGTTCCTCTATTTGCATATTAGGTCTTATTCCTTCTTTCCCACTCACGGACGTGGCTCCAGCAGTCTTCTCTTTCTTTCCTGGATTGTCTGTTTTTCCTTCTCAAATGGAATATTACTGTCATCATGTATTAGTTCATTCTTTTTTGTTTTTTGGAGCAGAGTCTTTCTCTGTTGTCCAGGCTGTAGAGCAGTGGCTCGATCTCGGCTCACTGCAACCTCTGCCTACCAGGTTCAAGCAATTCTTATGCTGCAGCCTCCCGAGTAGCTCAGATTACAGGTGCCCACCACAACACCTGGCTAATTTTTGTGTTTTTAGTAGAGGAGAGATTTTGCCTTGTTGGCCAGACTGGTCTCAAATTTCTGACTTCAAGTGATCCACCTGCTTCGGCTTCCCAAAGTGCTGTGATTACAGGTGTGAGCCACTGCGCCTGAGTTAGTCCATTCTTGTATTGCTGTAAAGAGCTCCTTGAGACTGGGTAATTTTTAAAGAAAAGAGGTTTAATTGACTCACAGTTCCATGGGCTGTACAGGAAGCATGGCTGAGGAGGCCTCAGGAAAATTACAATCAGTGGGAAGTG